TTTTAGTTACTGACCCTCAAGTTCTGGGCAGAAAAGAATGGCAGATGCTGCAGTTGAAAGAGATATGAACTTCACCGAGGTAGCAGAGGCAGTGTTGATGGTTGTTGCTCGCAGAAAACAGTTTTGGAACACCAGGACCCTGGGCATAATCCCAGACTTCTGAAGCGGAAAAATTCTCCAGGGAAGGGAGAAACTAACTACACTATTCTAGAATAGACTATAAACATGAAGTTATATACCAAGGGTTGGCAACCTTCAGCACACAGCCCATCAGGGTAATCCGCTGGCGGGCTGCGAGACGTTTTGTTTATGTAGATCGTCTGCAGGCATGGCCCCCTGCGGCTCCCAGTGGCTGCGGTTCACCGTTCCTAGCCAATATATTTAGAGCAATGATATAGTAGAAAGAATCTTTCTTGTCCTGAGATCCTGACTCAGATTATGCCATGGTAAGAAGGAACTAGAGAGGCCTTAGCCCACACTACCCTTTATGCCCTTGTTTCAGAGCATAAGGAAAGATATGGCACATATATGGGCCAACAGACACTACTTGTAAAATCCTGGGCTCAGGCACATGCATATCCATTGGTGGAGTACAGAAGGACCACCACTCAAAGAAGAATCTAGTCCTAGCACTACCTATATATTAGACCCACCAACACTTGAATATTTTAAGGCTTTTTAAAAAAAAAAAAAAAAGTTCTTATAAACAATTGTGTTGTTTGAATGAGTCACATAACATCGTTTCTTTGAACTGACAAGCATGAACCTGTTTGAGGGTGAAGAGACTTTTTACAGGTGCTTCTGTGCCTTTTCCAGCTATATCATCCTGAGCAATAGCTTGAGCAAAAACTGGTATATAAGCAATTGCATTTCTAAACTTTTTTGAAGTGGGGTTTAAGATTGTTGGACAATGCCAAGAAAGTGTCCCTACTGCCCCCAATAGCCTCAAAAAAGCATGAATGATAAACACCTTAACCATTCCTGCACAAGACACGTCTTTGATTAATCAGGAGGAAAATGATCTAGCTTCACCATGAAGGTAGACAAAGTTTTAAAAAGTTTCCTTCACATACAGTATTTTCAAAAGTACAATATCTAAACAAGAGTTCAGAGGTTTTAGCTAAGTTCCCCTCCTCTAAGGTCACCCACTGCTTCTTAAAGACTTAGAAGGGCTGATACAGGAAATGCAGTTCTGTAAAGAAACAAGACTTGAGATGAGAATCAATGGGCTCATTAAAAATCAAGTAAAAATCTTGAGCAAAATAGAAGAACTGACCAGAGAACAGGAGGGAAAGCACAGATTTAAAATTTAAAATTTTTATTAAGATGTTTTTAAAAAAGTGAACGGTACAGAGTCTAAGTGTAGAAGTTTCTGGTTATCAGGGAATAACATCAAGGGGTGCGAAGTTCAGTTTAAGATCGGATGGCGTAAGGAATACATAATCTGCAATATCCTCGATTGGGAGTAAAGGTTAACGGGTCAAAGTACAGACATTGAGATATGAGGGTATGTTGTTCAGATGATGGCTATGTTCGGGTGTGGAGTGTAATGAGTGGATACGATGATGAGGATGGATTGACCCTCATTTGGTGAGATTTAACGTTCAGTGAGTTTATGGTTCCAGTTCATATGGTCCAACGGAAAAAGTCTCTTGTTCCCTTTCTTGTAGTCGATGCACAATATCACTCCGGCTCACGCCTCCTGGTACTGTCAGTGGCCAGTGATGTGTTCGGTGTAGATGTCCCTGGACCATCAGATGGTGTCTGAGACCATGAGGTGCCGCATTACTACAAGACAACACAGTTGCGTTGCAGACCTTACTCAAGCAAATCTCTCCTTCACCTCAGTTGTCATTTTGTTGATAAGGATATGCTTGATAAGGATGGTCTTTTTATTTTTTCATACTGTAGGAGTAACTGAATCTTATGACAACTTAGTCTTCCTACAAATATCAGACTACAGTATTGAGATAAATTGTTTGATAGTCTCTGAATGTTGAAAATCTACTTAAAATTGAGAGTGCTCCCAGGTGTCTCACCCAGAAACCAAGAGAGTTTTTAATTGAGCTGGAAGGAGACAAAAGTGTGTTGAGTATTCTGCATGCCTTTATATAATATGGAGTAAGTTACTCACTAAGACTTTTTTTTTTTTTTTTTTTAAAAACAGCAGTAAAATTTTCAAAATGGTCCTAAAGCCCATAGGATGCTAAATTCCATTTGCAGAAGTGACATAGGCACTTGACTTCTTCCACTGGAAGCTTAAAAAGAATAAAGTTAAATTTGTGACTAAACTCTTACTTTTATAGCTCAGTTAAGTACCTTCCCACATTCAGGGGTCTAACTTTTACAAAAATTGTTGATGGATATGTATACAACACCTAGGGTTTGAACTCCCACAGGAAAATAGAAAGGACATAGCTTCACATAAGAACAGACACATCCCAAACCAGTGGGAGTAAGGGTTTCACCTCTTCCTTTGAGAATCATAGGAAATCAGGGTTGGAAGGGACCTCAGGAGGTCATCTAGTCCAACTCCTTTCTCAAAGCGGGACCAATCCCCAAATGGCCCCCTCAAGGATTGAACTCACAACCCTGGGTTTAGCAGGCCCATGCTCAAACCACTGAACTATCCCTCCCCCAAGAGAAGATATTCAAATGGGGGGGGGGGGGGGGGAAAGAGAGGGAGGGAGGGAAAAACCACACTAAGAGAATTACAACACTAAAACAAAGGACAGACTGGACTCCATGTGGGAGTCCAATTAAAATCTCTCCATGAAGATCCATGCTGTATGGCCCACACAGCTTAATGAAAAATATGGACCACAAAAGTTGGATGACACAGGTGACTGGCAGTAGGACACAGATCAACTCACTGATTGAAATCTATGAACAGTAAAAAGCCTTGGTGACCAACATCTCTGTAGTATGTACCCTTGCTGGAAGTCTCCACAAGTCAGAAATGAACCGGGGGGGGGTAGCAGATTGCAGTGTTATTGGCATTTCATGGCTACAGTTTGCCAAATTGACTATTATGCTCTGGACTTTTCTCCCAAGGACTAAAGGCAGTTCTAATTTAGTGTAACTTTAAAGAAGATAGAGTGGGATCTTAAGCTTAAGTTTACTAAAATGCCATCCTGATGATAACATCCACACTAGAACACTACTGTTAAATTTAGTACTGAAAGGCAGATTGAGAATACACCTTCTGACATGTTGCCTGTCTACATAACGGCTTCCAGGAACCACATCTGGAGAAAACTATTAGCGTACTTCATTTGTCCCCTGTATCCATTTTGCTTGCAGACAGCATATTTAAATCTGTCCTTAGTTCTGTACTGTTGACTTTTCCTGTATGCAAATAACCCGTCCTATAGGGTTCTCAAACTTCATTGTACTATGACCCCCTTCTGACAACAAAAATTACTACATGACCCCAGAAGGGGGGACTGAAGCCTAAGCCCACCCAAGCCCCACTGACCCAGGCAGTGGGGTGAGGGGGAACCAAAGCCCCACTGCGCTGGGCAGGGGTGGGGTGTCAAAGCTGAACCTCAAGGGCTTCAGTCCCAGACAGGGGGCCTACAACCTGAAGCCCTCAGGTTTCGGCCCTGGGCGGTGTGGCTTGGGTTTAAGCTTACACCTCAGCCCCAGGAAGGCTAATGCCAGCCCTGGCGCCCCCATTAAAACAGGGTCGTGACCCACGTTGGGGTCCTGACCCACAGTCTGAGAACCGCTGCTCTAGGAGATAAGTATTCTGCACTAAAGCACAAGGCTGAGAAAGGTGCAGTAGGTTTAACACAAACTACTCTAAAAACACTACGTTGTTCTAATACTTGTAGTAAACTTTAAGATCATTTGAAGTACCTATTAAAAAAATCCTCAGCATTATAGTGGCAGGTGTTTTTGTCCAGGTTTGGGAGTTTTACATTGTTATATGCCACTACCCTTAGTTTTGTAAGAGTGTTATGCTTGCTTTACTTCAGAAATATGTACACAATCTAAGACCATCACGCACACCCATCCTCAACATCACACCCATTAAACAGGATGAAGAAGTAAAGTTGAAATAGAAACCAGGGCTTTTTTT